TAATTCATATAATTAAGTATTTTGAGATTTTTGGACCTTTTGACTTTTGACAGCTCTATTGGCATCGGTAATGAAAATTTGCTAAAAACGCCCATCGGCATCTTAAAGTACATGAATGTAGAAATCTTTTAAGCCCTAGAACGTTTAAATCCATCAAAGAAATTTTTGTTTAGAGCTCTGTCCGTGTTGACGTGGAATTTCCCTTATTTATATCAAATATGCAAATATTTTTCATAATTAATTATTTTAATTTAGACCAATATCTCTTTAATTGCGTTAAATAATTATTTACGTAGTCCTTATACCAAATTTATAATAAATAAATTAATGTTCTTCCATTTGCATACGTAAAAGTATTAGCACACTAAAACTTAGACCAAAAGAATTTTAAAAATTTGAAACAATCTTATAAAACCCCTTCGCTGTTTGGAAAAATAATCATATGATTGGCCCAAAATGTTCAGCAAAATCTGGTAGATGAATTTTTATGAAACTTAGTATACAAGGGTTTTTGGGGTCGCTAAATATAAATATGACGTCAAAAAAAATTCAAAATGGTGGATCCAATATGTCGGACAAAATTTTTAAATTTTAAACAGATATTATAAACAAAAAAATCAAGGAACAGAAAGTGTAATGTAAAACCTTTGCAGCCTCCACGCGGCACATTCTGGGGTCATGATTCGTTTTATCAGCTAATGCAAAGGATATAGAATAGAGTACAAAATTTGATAAAAATCGGGATGAATTAAAAAAATTACGTCCCTCCTTTTGAATTCATAATTTTTTATTTTGAAAGACAAATTTAAATTTAGCGACCCAAAATATCCCTAGATACTGAAATTGATAAAAATTCAAATAAATTTCAAAATGATGTCCGCCATTTTGAATTCTTTAAAATGAATTAAATTCACCGACTCCAAAAACCCTTATACACTAAATGTGACTTAAATTAAGAATAAATTTTTATAAATTTTACTTGTTTTTAAATTGTTATATTATTTAAAAATAATAAATAATCATTTATTTATTACTTAATTTAGGATCATTGTAATCAATAGTGTGTTAATAATGATATAAAACAATGTATTATATAATTTACATAAGAAATTGTATTTATTTTGCGTTAAGAAGTTTACTACCCAACGGTCGTTAACAGGCAACGGGTTAACAGAAAAATAATTTTTAAAATTCAAACATATTTTTTTACTAAATTTTCTTGAAAAATCTACATCATATCATGTTTTATATTTTTTGAAGGATAGTTTTTTGTACAAAAAAATTATTTCAAATTGAAATTTCTGTGTATAACTTTGCCGACCTGCAATTTCTAAGAAAAAATTACACGTTAATGTCTACAAGTTAGTCCCATTCTGTAGAAAATAACCTTTAAGGGGTTAAACCACTCTATAGCGTCAAAAAGAGGTTCTAATTTGAACATTTTTTTAAAGAAAAGTTTAAAAGTAATGAAAAATATGTTTACATATCTCTATCAGGTACACTTTAAAGAGAAAAAAATATACTTTATAAATTTTGTTTTGTTTAAAAACAGCAGATGTACATGTACGTGATGGAAACCCTTTGAAAAAAGAATTCCTTCGCGTCCGGAATGGACACATGGTACAATTTTCATCCTAAAAAAGAAACAATTTTTTTTCTATTTTTACATCTCAAAAGCTAGAGAAAGACGTAGGGGATTTTTTTTGTTGCATATTTTTTTAGTTATTAACAATTTAGTGCCTATTTTTTTCAGTCAAAAACTCAGTTTTTCCATAAAATGTTCACCATTTTTGCAAAAATCGATTTAAAAAAATCCCTTACGTCTTTCTCTAGCTTTTGAAATGCAAAAATAGAAAAAAAATTGTTTTCTGTTCTAGGATGAAAATTGTTCTAAAAACCTCTTCGGCCGCGAAGGAATTCTTTTTACAAAGGGTTTCCATCACGTACATGTACTTCTGCTGTTTTCAAACTAAAAAAATTTATAAGGTATATTTTTTCTCTTTAAAGTATACCAGATAGAGATATGTAAACATATATTTCATCACTTTTAAACTTTTCTTTAAAAAAAATGTTAAAATTAGAACCTCTGTTTGACGCTCTAGAGTTGTTTAACCCCTTAAAGTAAGCTTAAGATCATTAAAAATATTCATGTTTTTAGTAGTTATTTAAATTTTTGTAAAACATTGACAATAATGATTTTTTAAAAATATCTTACACAGAAATAGAATTGTTAAATCTCAATACTCAATAATTTAATTCTTTTCACTTACATTACAATTTAACACTTCTTATTTTAGAAATTTCATATTTTGAACATTTTTGGCTTTGGAAATTTTGTATTGTAGAAAAATAATTTTTAGATTGTGTATGGAATAAAAAATTCAATTTTAAAGTTCTTAATGTTCTTCGCATGCTTTATAGTGATAGAACACTACTGCGCATGTGTTATAGTAATAGAACACTACTGCTCATGCGTTATAATGATAGAACACTATTGCGTATGCGTTATAGTAATAGAACACTACTGCTCATGCGTAATAATGATAGAACACTACTGCGTATGCGTTAGAGTGATAAAACACTACTGCGCATGTGTTATAGTGATAGACCACTACTGCGCATGCGTTATAATGATAGAACACTACTGCGCATGCTTGATATTGATAGAACACTACTGCTCATGCGTAACATTGTCCGAACACTACTGCGCATGCGTAATATTGACAGAACACTACTGCGCATGCCTGACACTAGTAGAACACTAATACGCATGCCTGACATTGGTAGAACACTACTGCGCATGCCTGACATTAGTAGAACATTAATGCGCATGCCTGACATTGCCATAACACTACCGCGCATGCGTGATACTAAAAGAACTTTACTGCGCATGTGTTATAGTGATAGAACACTACTGTGCATGTGTGATACTGATAGAACACTACTGCGCCTGCGTGATACTGATAGAACACTTCTGCGCATGTCTGACATTGACAGAACACTACTGCGCATGCCTGACATTGACAGAACACTACTGCGCATGCCTGCCATTGGTAGAACACTAATGCGCATGCCTGACATTGACATAACACTACCGTGTATGCGTGATACTGATAGAACTTTACTGCGCATGCGTTATAGTGATAGAACACTACTGCGCATGTCTGACATTCGCAGAACACTACTGCGCATGTTTGACATTCACAGAACACTACTGCGCATGCGTAACATTCTCCGAACACTACTGCGCATGCGTAATATTGATAGAACACTACTGTTTAGATAGAATACTACTGCGCATGCGTATATGTATGTACAATGAGTATGTATATATGTTATAGTTAAAGTCCGAAATCCGTTAATGTGGAGATTAACTAGTTAATCTGCGGATTACCTAAGATTCACAGTTAAAGTAAGAAATTCGGACATTAACTTGGTAATGCTAACATTAACGAGAATCAAACCGTTAAAGTGCGAAAAGTTGATTTCGTGAAATTCGAGACTCTGTCTATCAATCTAGCAAGAGACAAAGTAAGTAATTAATGGTTATATTGAAAATTTTCAATTGAACTTTGACCTGATGTTGACAGGGCAAAAACGGATGCACGTTCTATTTTGGCTGTTGTACTTAATAGGACAGATAATGGCTTTTACAAACTGGGCAATTTAGTGTTTGTAAACAAATCTTTCTCACAGAAAAAGATGTTCCTAATGTTAAAATTTCTTTGCGTCAAACAGCAATACAACAATCTCTTGGTTCTGGTCAGGGTCTTCAAAAGTGCGATTGCAAATCCAAATGCAGAACCAGTAGGTGTGCTTGTCGTAAAAATAATATGTTCTGTAACTCCAAATGCCATAATTCTTTATCTTGCAATAATAAGTAATAAGTTTATTTTTAAAAAAAGTAATAAAATTAAATATTAATTTGAATAATGATATTAATTATTATATTAATTATAATTAGATAATAATAATTAATTATAATTAATATTAATTATTTAATATATAAGTAATAAGTTTATTTTTAAAAAAATTCCAATATTGTACACTTGTTATTCAATAAAAAATTTTACTCTGAAGCAATATAGTATATTATGTTTTATTTCAATTAAATCATTTTTTCGCACTTTAACGAAAGTAAACTCGGTAATGTTCGCATTAACTAGTTAATGTTCGAAAAAAAAATTTCTTTCGAACTTTAACGGATTTGATCAGGTAATCCGCAGATTAATAGTTAATGTGCACATTACCTGAATTTCAGACTTTAACTATAACATATATACGATACGATGAAAAAATGATAAAAGTCGAACGACCGAACGATGAAGTACGGAGTTACACGACCGACGGACGACAAAACGACGACGAATATGTTAATATTATAGGAGATTATCCCAAAGCATGTTAAAGAAATATGCAAAAAAAAGTTATAGAAATTTTTATAAGCATATCTTAACCTACTATAGAACATTATGAGATCTTTAAACGGATTTTTCTCGTAAACACATTTTTGAAAACGAGGAGACACTTTTCTCAAAATCTACATAACCTATTTTAAAACACCAAGAACCTGCTTTGAATTTCTAATTTATGTGAAATAGGTTGCCCGAAAACTATCTCCCCGAATAAAAGGACCTTTTGTAAAACACCACATAGAGCTGCGAAAATTAACTAAAGATAGTAAAAGAAAATTTTTTAAAATCCTATTCTTGTAATATGTAACAATATCCTAAATTTTTGAAACTCACGTTTATTAACTCGATTTGGAATTCTAATAAAAAAGAGTGATTGTTTTAAAAGTGTAAAATTACCAGTTACGAACAGGAAATAGGGGATTTTGTTTTTTGTTGAGCTTAAGTTACCACCAATTCTGTTTGTTTACGACCCACCTTCTTTTTACTGGGTTATGGATTTAAAGCTGTTTCTGTTAAGATATATTTATATTTTTATAAACATCAAATATTCTAGTTAAATAAAAGAATCTATATTACTCTTTTAAGGTGATTGGCCGTGGATAGCTGCGCTTGGATATGAGGCCAAAACATCTAGAGAGAGAATTAAATGGCTTTGTGGTGGTGCTTTAGTTTCTTCAAATCACGTTTTAACAGCAGGACACTGTGTTTATAATCGACCAGATTTAATACTAGTACGGTTGGGGGATTTGGATTTATTTTCAAATGCCGATAATGTTCAACCTATCGACGTTATTATTGAAAGAAAAATTTTGCATCCTGAATACAGTGCTACCACATACACCAATGACATTGCTATTTTAAAATTAAGAGACAGTATTTCTTTCTCAGGTAAGGGCAGAGTATGATAAATGTTTCTAAATCACGAAATATGTTCGTGATTTGTAATTAAAAAAATTCATGACACAGTAACATCACAGAAATGTTACAAAAAAATAGTAAAATTTTTAATAAGGAGATATATTTTATGCATCGTAACAAAAATGATCAAAAATCATCCTTACGTAGTTAATGAATGGCCTCTTAGTTCATTTTTTCCCATTTCTAGTAGATTTTTCAAGGGTGCCCAAACCGAACAAAAATTTTTATTGTGAAAAATGATCACTTTATTAATAAAAATTTTTTATTCTTCGGAATCAATTTAGTTTCTTAGGCAGTAGTTAACAACGGTCCCTAGCTTTAAATAGTTACGCATTTGTTCATTTAATATCTACTTAGGCAAAAGTTATGAGTTTAAAATAAAAATAATTTTGTACATTTTATAAGCATTTATTTACTTTCCGAAAAATGTGAAATAATCATGAGGAGAATAGGGGTTAATGATATATTTTAAAACTTTCAGCTCTAATTCATCCTATTTGTCTTCCATGGGGGGATGAGATTCGAAAGAGGGATTTTTCTCGCACTTTTCCCTTCATTGCTGGATGGGGCTCGATTTATTTCAGTAAGTAAACTTAATTCGTGTTTAATTACATGATGCGTAGTTGCGTGCTACAGAAAAATTTTAGTTTTCTGAAGTTTACAAATTTGTAAAAATTTGAATTAGAGTAGAAAGAGCTTGGTAATGCAGTGCACATTTTTTTGTATTTTGTAAAAAATAACATTAAGACTGTAAGGGTGTTAATTAAAGTTAATTGTTGAACAGATGGTCCATCCAGCAGTCATCTTCAAGAACTTCAAATTCCAACTGTCGACACTAATCAGTGTCAAAAAGCTTTCAGGCAATTTAAAACCGCAAATATCGATGGGCGAACTATTTGCGCAGGTTATGCAAGAGGCGGGAAAGATGCTTGTCAAGTAAGACCTTAAAATGAATAGTTATGTTACTTTCTATAACTTTAATATACTTAGAGTCTACAATCATTCTGAAAAATCAAACTTATTTTACAATTTGCATAACAAATTACATTTATTTTCGGTTAGTAATGTGTATATTATGAAACTTAATTTCTTCTTTTTAGGGAGACAGTGGTGGACCTCTAATGTTCCCAAAGGAAACAACATTTTACCTTATTGGAATTGTATCGTTTGGTTTTCGATGTGCAGAAGCAGGCTTTCCTGGAGTATATACTCGAATAACGGCTTTTTTGGATTTTATACATAAAAATATGATATAAATAAAATAGCCCTATTTAAACATGAATATTTAATAACCATTATACGTACAATATTATTATTACATATTTTATGATATTTTCATTATATGTTACATAATAATAATATTAATATGTGGAAAAATTCGCATTGTTATCGCTGAAAATTTTATGGCTTATAAATTTTCTGCAATTACTTTTGAATTCCAGTAATAGCCCAGTAAGAAGTAAGGAATTGAGAAAAATTGACAGTTCTTAACTTTTACAGAAAAGGTTAAATTATCAATTTTTTTGAATTACGTTTCAGTTCAAACTTAGCTTTATTTCAGCTTCTCCAAATGAAAATGAAAAGAATTGGTCCGAAACGGAATTCAAAAGAATTAAAAATTTCGAATTCTTATTAATTCCTCACTTCTTACTGGAAGTGGACCTCTACGAAATTTGTAAAAGAGGCAGACTTAGTATGAATGGTTTGCAAGAAATAGAGGTCTAAATATTTTTGCTTTTACAGTACGCAATATATACTTCAAATTAATCGTAACTTTTTTAAAAGTAAATTTATTATAAACTTCTCTAGATGTTTTGAACTCTCACGTGCTCCAGCTGGGTCCTTAGAACACAGATAAAAGTATTTTTAATCTACTTCCACTTAAAAAATATTATAAAATTGTCACCAAATTAGACTTGGTTACGTAATAATACACACTTTTATCCATCATTTTTTATTTATAAAACACTCTGATTAATTATCTTTTAGACCGAATATACGTAAATTTTTAAAGATTTTTGAACCACCTCCCCCCGTAAATTGGTAGCGTAGTTTATGGATGACCCCTAAGTGCTCAAGCTGACTCTAGGAAACCCAGCTTATAAATATTTTTAAAAAGCTAGCAATTATTGGTCAATATTCTATTAATTTATAGTGTTTTATCGTTGCTCATTTTTAGTTAAAACTTATTCTAAACGATTGAAAATATTAAGCACCATACTATAAATTTTTATTTTTTAATGAAATTAAAAATCTGGGTATGTTGCACTTACCATGGTCGCGCAGTCGAAAATTCCAAAAATATAATAAAAATAAAAAATATTCTGAAAATTAAAAAAAATTGGTTATAACAATTTTTTTCTGAGTAATAATTGTTTGGCGCTCACTGTAAAAGCAAATATGTTGGCAACATTATATCACGACATACCGTTATACTAAGTCTTCCTTTTTTATAAATTTTGAAGAGATAGAGTATTACTATAATTTGAAAGTAATTGCACAAAAATCAGAATAAGAAATAACACTTAGAGTCGTAACACTTAGCGGGTTTTTACCCATGTGTAGGTCAGCATGAAAAGGCCCCTCTTTGGCACTATTGATGAACTTATCTGTATGATCATTTTTTATTAAAGGACCCCCAGGAAATAAATTAGTTTTAGGTTCCAGTCGATTTTCTCATAAATTTTGCATTTTAAGTTTATATTCAGACTGTAGAAAACTGTTAAATTAAAAAACTCATAGGAAATTCGACTGCTACCCAAAGCTAATGTATTTTCCTGCGGGGTTCTTTTAAATGAATTTGAGCTGTTTTGTACACCTCTATATGTGACAAATTTACGAAGATTTTAAGAGTGAAAGTTATTAGTGTCAAAACCTAAATTAGAGAAAACCATGTTTAAAATTTAATAAATTGTACCATTAATTGCAATGTTAACTAAAAAATTAATACTAGTTTACAGTGACTTTGACCTACGACATTTGATTCGAGAGCTAAGAATGTGCGAGACTTTGTAGTTTGGTTTTCAACAATAAGAGAAAAATTTTAAAATATATATTATTTTTAGGAAATTTGGATTATCTCCTAAAATAAGTGATAAATGGGCATTTCCCAGCTTAAAATCCCCGTCCAGGATCCTCAAAGGAACCCTAACGGATCCTGTATAGGAACTTATACAGGATCCGTTAGGGTTCCTTTGAGGATCCTGGACGGGGATTTTAAGCTGGGTTTCAAGCGGTTGAACGAATATATTTCTTGATTATTTATAACAATGTCTAACTTGAACTCATACTATCAATCAGAAGAATATCACGTAGTAATGTAAGTGGCTTTTTTGCGTTTCTATTAATAAATAATTTTTGTTTGGAATTATTCTATTCTCCTTATGTCTACATAAATAAGTGACTAGAGACGAATTTATTGTATTTAGTAGAGAAATTTTTGGAAAGGGTTGAGAAGCATTTTGAATGGTTTCGTCAAATTTAAGGGGTCTTGTAACTTTTTTAAGCATTAAAATCTGATATTTTTAAAAAAAATTTTGCTTATAAGATTTAAAATATAATTGATTAAAAGTTTTTACATATCATTGAGTATGTTAAGAAGTCTTAAAAAAATAATTTCATATTTGAAAAAACATAAGTATCTTCCTTCTACAGAGGGCGCTTTGGCCACTGGTAAAAATTATTGGTTGTCATTGTAGCTCATAGCAGAATCGTCTAAAATCAAAAAATCCAATTTTATTTCAAAATGGACGACTTAATACAGGACCTAAACCTCTGATTTACTACTAATGTTCAAAATTACACTTTTTGTGTATCATTTATGTTTAAAATTGTGTTTTTTCAGATTTTTACATTCAAAAGCTTGCCGTTTTCTTAATTTTTGATATTTTTAAGTATTTCGAAGTTCAGGTCCTGTATTAAGTCATCTATTTTGAAATTATGTTTGATTTTTTTATTTTAGATGATTCTGCTATGAGCTACAGTGACAACCGTAATTGAAAGTATTTTTACCAGTAGACAAAGTGCCCTCTGTAGAAGGAAGGTATATATATTTTAATAATAAAAAAAACCTTGAAAATTTCTTAGAAACCTTGAAAAAACCGGAAAATAGACGTGAATTTTATTCACGAGTTTTGGTGGCCACCCTGGGTATGTAAAGGAAAAATTTTTGAATAATCCTTGAATACCTTTTAATTAACCCAATAACGCCCAAATGTCCAAAAATGTTGACTGAGGGTAAAAATCCACAAGTATACCAATTTTTAGCTAATTAGGTCAAATAATGTAAAAGTTAGGGAAAAACATTTTTTCAAAAATTGTGACACTTCACAGTGAAAGGGGCCTTAAGGGACAAATGTATTACACGAAGAGAAGAAAGTAGTCAATCATACTCAGTCCCTAGTCATAGTTAACAAACAATATCCCAATGGGAAATTTACAACTGGCGGAGTACTGCGCCAGCACTGGCAGCTACGCTGACAGACAGCACTGGCATAACTCTGGGATGATAACGCTGTCTAACGCTGACGAAGTACTGCCTGCCAGTGCTGCCAGACAGCGCTGGCGCAGCACTGAACCAGTGCTGGCTGAGAATATTGCCTCAATAAATGCCGTATTGTTATTAATTAGTCGTAAATTCATAATTATAAATAATTCAACAACAAAATGGTAAATAATATTAATAAATACAGTACGGTCGCGTTAATCCGACACCTGGTTAATCCGACACTCCTTGTAATCCGACATCGATCAAGATGACCGTTTTCCCCCCACCTAAGATAAGTGGGGGGCACGACGGAAAACCTCAATATATTGAAATATGTAATTACACTTGCTAGTATTCATCGATTCTTAGATTTTGTCGGTCTGTTTTGATTTTATACGAAAATTTTAGTGAGAGTACATAATAAATGTTTGAATTGTGAATTATGTCGAAGTCGCAAGTCACTGCTAAAAGAAAACATTCTACACTTTCATTAAAAATAAAAAATGATATTTTAGTTCGTCTAGAGAAAGGTGAATCTATAACTAATTTATCAAAGGAATTTAATGTTGGTAGGGCAACAATTTATGACTTAAAAAAAAATTCCGATAAAATAAAAAAGTTTGTGTCAACTACCTACGTGGGTCCTGGTAAACGACAAACACTAAAATCATCGGAAAACCCTGTTGTTGTAGAAGAAGCATTGTATTCGTGGTTTCTTCAAGAAAGAAGAAGACACACTCCTATATCTGGTGATATGTTGTCTATGAAAGCTAAATTCTTTTACTCAGAAATCACGGGTAAAACTGATTTTTCTGCAAGTAAAGGTTGGCTTCATCGTTTTAAAAGTCGTTACGGAATTCGGTTAATGAAAATAACTGGTGAAAAACTTTCAAATGATGATTCATGCGTTGAAACTTTTCGGAAGAATTTTCTGGAAAAAGTGAAAGATCTGTGTCCTTCTCAAGTTTACAATGCAGATGAATCGGGATTGTTGTGGCGTGTGTTACCGAATAAAACTTTTGTATCTCGACAAGAAACGTCAGTTCCTGGGAGAAAAGTCAGCAAGGAAAGAGTAACATTTTTGCCTTGCTCAAATGCCTCTGGACTTCATCGTTTGAAAATGGTTGTGATAGGGAAATCACAGAATCCAAGAGCTTTCAAAAACGTTGACATTCCAGTTAACTATTATGGACAAAAAAGCTCATGGATGACGAAAGATTTATTTAACAACTGGTTTCATAAAATGTTTTGTTCCTGAAGTTAGAACGTGGCTAAAAAGTCATAATTTACCGCAAAAAGCTGTACTTCTTTTTGATAATGCCCCTTGCCATTCATGTGTAGATGAATGGACGAGCGACGATAAATTGATAACAGCAATGTTTTTACCACCCAATTGCACAGCATTGATTCAGTCCATGGATCAAAATGTGATTCAGTGCATCAAATTGCACTACAAGAAAAGTATCTTAATGACAGCAGTTTCCAAAGACAACTCTATAGAAAAATCTTTGAAGGAGTTAAACTTTAAAGATTTAGTGTTTTCACTTTCGGAATCATGGCATTCAGTGCCAAAATCGACTATCATTGCTTCTTGGAAAAATTTAAGGCCCAGCATGCTAGAAACATTTTCTGAATTAGATCTGTCCTCAAAAAAATAAAATTACAGTAAGTAAAAGTTATTTAAAAGTAGATCAATATCATTTGACATACAAATTTTTTTAAGATTGTTATATTTTTTGGTTGTTGTAGGGTAAAACAGATGCAGTGCGAGCTAATGAAGAAATCAGCATTGATGCACAATTACTTGATAATGTTTCTCAAGAATTACAAATTCCGCAAGTGGAATTGTTACAGTGATTGGACGTGAATAATATCATAGAGGAGAATGATGAGCACTTTACTGATCAGGACATTATAAATCAAGTTACTTCTACTGTAACGGAAGAAGATGATGAGGAAAACTTGTCATCCCAGGAAAAAATTCCTCACAAACAGGCTGTAGATAGTTTTGATACTTGTTTAGATTGTGCTGAGGAAAATGACATTTCCTCAAATGAGCTCATGTTATTAAGAAGACTTAGAGATAAAGCTATTAAAGCAAGATTTAATGCATTAAAGCAAACAAATATTGTTGATTTTATAAACAAGAGTTAAACAATTTAACTTAACAAATTATATTTTAATATTTTATATAAAAAAATTCAATTGTTATTTATTATTTTATATAAATATGTAGTGCTTAAATAAAGAATGATTATAAAGATAACTGGATATACAAGTCTAAATGTCGGATTACAGAGTATATGTTGAAAAATTTGGCCGAACTACAGAGGCTTGTTTAAGTACTCGGTAATCCGGACAAATCGCTAATTCGACATTTTCGTGCAAAGCAAATGTCGGATTAGCGCGACCGTACTGTAGTTATTATTTATAAAATATTTCTCTTCTTAAAGAAATCGTATTAAAGATGGAGACTAACAACGGATATAGTAAATGAAGTAGAAAAAAATTGTTTATAACATTTAAAAATGAAATAATAAACAATTACAGGAAGTGTGCATTAGATTTTCATATTTTAGTACCTAACGATTGAAATCTAGAAATATCGCAAACCTATGAAAATAAACAAAATTGCTGACGAGGGGAATCGAACCTACGACCTACGGACTTACAGACTAACGCTCTAATCACTATGCTAACGACACATGTGTACAGTAAAGTATTAATATCTCAGTATCATTCAGACATACATTTATTGAGTCAAAGATGAGAAAAAAATAGGGATACGTTACACTGAGAAAACTGAAGTGTCAAATTCGGAGGTTCAAAAAGTGTATGTTTCCTTTGCTTATGAAGAGAGTTAAATAGTCCTAAAATAAATTTTGAATTGGTGATGGAAATCTACTTGTATATTCTCTCCCATTATATCTGAGGGTTAAAAGTTGCGAAGAAAATGTGTACGATCTGATGCGCGCGAAATTATTTTTCTGACATTTTATGTATTTAATTTAGGGGTTAGGTTGACATATTTATTCATTTCGCGCCGGATTAGGAAGGGATTTCTCAAGATGGTTAATTTGTCCCTCTGTTATAAACTCATTTATTGCATTTAACATTGTACGTAATTCTTAAATTACGTGGTAATTTTTTAATAATTTTTTATTCATAGTAAGAAGTATAATAGTATTTTAATAGGAACCAAATTATTATTGAGATTATAAAGTTTAAATTTTGTTTATAATTTTAATTTGTTTAAATAATTTATTATTTACAAAATTAGACAATTATGTTAAATTTTTATTATTAAATTTAATAAAAATAAAAAATGAACAACTGAAAAGTAAAATATTAATGTTTTCAATAAATTTATATTTCTAAACATTCATAAACGTTTTTTATAATTTTTTTCAAGTTTATGTCAAAAAAGCAATGTTGGCAAAGAGCGTTGTGAACAATTTTTCTATACTCAGACAGCACTTGCCGCCGTAACTTGTCCAAGCTTTGGCGAAACAAAAATTCTGTACTGCGCCAGCACTAATTGTCGAGGCTCGGCTAGACTACGCCGAACAATCGTCTGAGTACTAAGCCAGTGGTGAACATCGGCACTACACTGGCATTTCCCATTGGGCCCAATGGGAAATTAACCATTGGCGCAATAATGGTCCTATATTGGGAGCCAGCAGTACCAATAATGGTGCAATAATGGCAACCAATATTGGGCCACTATTGCCAGAGTCTTGGGATGATCACGACTTTGCCAAGCATTGGCAGCCAACATTGAATCAATATTGGCTGCCAAGACAAATGCCGGAGTTTCCAAGCGTTGGATATTCATTGGCAACAAATATTGGACCAATATTAGTGACCAATTAATTACCAATGCTTTAAATTAAATTAATGCTTGGTTATCTATTGGTTACCAATACTGAACCAACGTTTGAAATCAATATTTTACAAATACCAACATATAGCAAAAATTTTTCAAAAAAAAAATAAATTACTAATCTAAAGAAAAAAAAATTAATTTTTTTGGAACACTCTGTTAAAAACAGAATGTGATAAAAATCACACAAAGATAATATTTGTCTAAGTTCGAGAATGCAAGCGTCTCTTCTTATATAGAACTGGTTACACAACTTGCTGGTGAGTGCAAGAAGCTCTGGCGCACCCTGGTGTTCGATTTTGAAATGTCCCGCGCTGCTTCAAAGTATATGCTCGAAATTACTTTGGATAAGTGCCACCAGGGTGCGACACAGTTTCTTCCTCTCACCAGCAAGTTGTGTTACCAGTTCTATATAAGAAGAGACGCTTGCATTCTCAAACGTAGACAAATATTATCTTTGTCTGATTTTTATCACATTCTGTTTTTAACAGTGTTCCAATAAAATTAATTTTTTTTTCTTTAGATTAGTAATTTATTTTTTTTTTTTGAAAAATTTTTGCTATATGTTGGTATTTGTAAAATATTGATTTCAAACGTTGGTTCAGTATTGGTAACCAATAAATAACCAAGCATTAATTTAATTTAAAGCATTGGTAATTAATTGGTCACTAATATTGGTCCAATATTTGTTGCCAATGAATATCCAACGCTTGGAAACTCCGGCATTTGTCTTGGCAGCCAATATTGATCCAATATTGGCTGCCAATGTTTGGCAAAGTCGTGATCATCCCAAGACTCTGGAAATAGTGGCCCAATATTGGTTGCCAATGTTTGACCAAGAAAAAACTGTTGGCAGCCAATATTGGTCCATTATTTAGCCAATGGTGAGCATTGGCAATTTCCCATTGGGACTATGCTTAGTTTGATCAACAAACAAAAATTAAACGCTGTTTCATTTTTTGACCTACAGGTTTAGACTTGACCTACAGTTTTTCTGCCCTCAAAACTTAGGTCAATTTTAAAGGTAATTTAAATAGCCAAAAAATAAAATTTTTACATTAAATTTTTAAAATGATTGGTATAAAATCATAATGTAAATTTAAGTTTTTGAAACAATTTATTAATAAATAAAATTTTTTTTAAATAAAAAAATGTTTGAAAAATAAAAAATTTGTTTTTTAATTGAAATAAGTCAATCGAAAAACAAGATATATGTGAAAAAAATGAAATTTCTGAAATCATGTAAATTTACTTCAAATTAATCAATTGCATTATTATTAATTACAGGTGGGGGCAACGTGCAAGACGTAAAATGAGTCAACCTGCAATTTTGAACTCTATTTTAAAATCGATGAGAAAAATATTTATTCATGATATTCAAAAAATTCCTTTCGGATAATCAAAATTGATTAAAACAGCAACTCAGAAAAAAATTGTAACCTAAATTATTTATAAAAATATTTTATTTGTTAGCACATGAAAAAGTCACAATTTTAATTTTTCCAAAGTCAATTCCAGAATTTGTTTAACAAGAAAATTTTTATTGCTTCCTTTTGCTCCAAAAGAGCATAAAAAGTAATAACTAACCATTTGACAACAATATCAGTCGCGTTTTTAATTATAGGACTTCTAGAATAAAAAATAACTCAAGTGGGACAACCTGCAAGCCTTTCCCCTACTATTTTATCAACTTATATTATTTCAGTCGTACATTTTATTTCCTTTTTAATTCTGTAAGTGCGAACTTGTATCTAAATAATGCATTTATTAATCATATTGTTTTTAAAAATATTTTTATATAAAATAAACAACTGAACTACAATTATCTAAGTTCCTATCAGATAAAATTTTGTTATGCCAATGCGATAATAATTTGTGTTCTTTTCCGTTATATAACATATGAATGCCCTATTATAAATAATCCACACATTGATGGCTAGATAGCATTAGTAACGATGGAGACTCTTAGCATCATTTTTAGTGCATTATTTTTATTCAGTCCTGTGGTTAGTGAAATAAAAAATAAAGGTTGGTGGAAAAATACAGTGTTTTATCAAATTTACCCATGGAGTTTTATGGATTCCAATAATGATGGGATTGGAGATTTAAAAGGTACATTATAATTTCATTTTAGACAAATAATTTTATATTAACATTTTTTAAGTTAACAGAGTGATATGAACCCTTAACATTGCGTATTATCGATGTGCATGGAATTGTTGAATGAATGATTTTATTTTCAAGAATATTAATTTGTGTTTTAGAGATTAATATTTTTTACATTTTTTAAAAATATTTTTTACTCTCGCCTTGAAATCAATTACACCATTGCTTATGTCTGGAAGAAAGCCAGTAATATCTACAGTAAAATTTTATGTAATTCGCGTTTAATTTTCTGTATGAATTTCGGACATTTTTGAAAGGAATTACGAACGTGATTTTTGCTAAAAAATTTTCCTTTTAGATTCGACCACTTTCCGGAATAGCTTTTGTACAATATTCATGTGAATTACTGACGAATTTTTTTACTAAATTTTTTTAAAATTCAGTTCAAAAGTCGATAGGAATTCCGCATATAATTGTTCACCCGAAAAATTTTTAAAAATTTCTTACCACTTTTCCAAACGAATTTTGAACAATACTTGTGCAAATTTTTTTTAGAAATTATGTTAGGAATCCGATAAAAACTCCGCACGTAATTGTTTTTCGAAATATTTTTTAAACATTTTCAACCACTTTTCTGAACAAAATTCTTGCGAATCACTGACGAATTTTTAATAAAATTTTTCAAAAATTCCGCTCGAAATTCAATAAGAATTCCGCACGTAATTGTTTCCCTAAAATTTTTTCATAAAATTTCGACAAATTTTCAGAACGAATTTTGTACAAAATTTGTGCAAATTACTAATGAATTTTTAAAATAATTTTTTTAGATGCTAGGAACTCCGTACGCAATTTTTCTCTTAAAATTTATTTTTTTTATCAATTCTGTATCCGTATTCTTAACCCGAATTTCGGACGAATCATTTTCGCCTGGGAACATATTCAATTTATAACAAAATTATAAAAAAGTTATTAATACTTGTTAAGAATGACTAAATTTATTATAAAATACTTTATTTTATTATTAGAACTCACAATTTTATAATCTTTTGATATTGAATAATCACACATTAATAATTTTTATTTTTCTATATAAGCTTCTCTTACTAATTTTTTTATGAAGCTGCAACTTGCACCTAGTTATCAAAACGTACTTAATTTTTCAAAATTTAGTTTTAGTTTCATATAAAAAATATTTTATTTTGAAATTTAATTTCCAAAATGAAGTGGGGGTGCTGATAACTGGTTGCCAATTTCAGCCTCATAACTTTTTAAACAATTTTTTAATCTCAATAGTGAAAAAAAAATTAGTCAAGTTTAAAAGATAATAAATGCAATTATTTTTATGTTAGATTAAGAAAACTTAATATATCTTAAATCAAAGTAAATTTAATTATTTTACTAATGATTCATTAAAAACTAATAAACACAATTTTTACTTTTAAAATAATAAGTATATAATATTTCTATTATCTTTCACTGTTATAGTTAAAAGTGTTTGGTAATGTTCGTAATAGTAATTTAAAGAATTAAGGAATAAAATTGTCATGAAAAATTAACAAGAAAAACAAATTATCATGAAAAAGGTGATTCACACTTTGTAATCTGCAACGCATAAAAAATTTCCTTTATCTGTTTTCAGTAAAAATTAACTTTCAAGTGGATTTCCCTAAAATTAATGCACAATATAAATTCAAGGAGGTGTTAAAATTAAGATTTTAGGTAAAGAGAAAAACATTGGCAAAATTATAACGATATTTATTATTAATAAACCTGAATATGAATTAAAATTTACTTTTTTCTTTTTTGAAACTTAGAGGTTGAAATGTAAGATGAAAAAGTGTTATGCTTAAAACTTCTGTTTAATTGTTCAAAATTATACTCAAAAGTTATTTATTATATTCTTTTAATTAAACAGTGAAAAAATGACATGTATTTGAAATAAATTGATTAATTTCTATTATAAGAATCGACAGTGTCAGGGTTAAAAAAATGTATTCAAACAAACAAGTTTATGACAAAGCGAATGTCCCAAGAATAGATTATTTTATAACATGATAGTTAATGCGCGAATATATCTATATATCTGCGAAAAATCAATTACAATCGCTTATCTCTCAACCTTATCTTTCAAACGACATAAAATATTATAAAGAGATAAGTAAGGGTTATATTATACATGAGGCCTTTACCTAACTAGATAAGCGGGGATGTATTCAATGTTATAAAAATAAAGCAATTCTAAACGTACTTGGTATGAGTACGTCTCCCCTTGCCCCGCGCCGTTACTTAAAACTGCATTAATACGAATTTCTTGTCCTTTTTCAATTGTTTTATTTTTTCGTTAATCGTGACTTGAAATAAGTATGTGCAGTTGTCATAGGTTAACCCGTTGCCTGCTATCGACCCAATGCAATGTTGGGTCGTGAGCTTCGTAGCGCAAAATAAATGCAATTTCTTATATTAAAAATTATAAAACAAATCTATATTAATAAAATCAGACTTCTGTCTGTACATTGCTCCAAGCTTAAGAATTTTTATATTTTTTTTCGTTTTGAGACATTACAATTCAAAAAATGTAAGAAAAAAAATTTCTGTCTGTCTGTCTGTATGCAAAACTTTGTTCGCGCGTCAATTGAAAACGGTCTAATCAATTAAAGTGAAACTTGGCAGTCTTTTAGTTATTAACGTAACTTAAAATCATAGCCTTATCCGATTAAAAAATATTAACTTGAACTAAAGTTATGACATTTTTCCAAAAGATTCGAAAAATCAAAAAAATGAAAATTTTTTATTTTTTGTAAAATGAATGCAAAACAATCCTTAGCTTACTTTTTTAGATAAATACAACCCATTTCTACAATAAAATTTTTAAAAAAGACGTATTTTTAATTTTTTTTTGTTTTTTTAGATCAACTTTTTTCTAAAAAAAAGTGATTCTCAATTTTTAAGCAAGCTGTTCAGGAAAAGTTATTAAAGTTTTTTATTTAAAGACCAGTATGTAAAGTAAGAAATTTGCAAACATTAGACAAAAATATTTTTTCAATATTCAGTTTTTCAAATCAACAAAGTTATGCACGAGTTAACAAAAAAATGTTCATATGAATTGAATGTATCACTGCTCCTCAAAGGGTTAAATATTGATTAATTCTTGCATCAAGCTGGTATTGATACGTAATGTTACAGTAACATTCGCAACATTAAATAAGTAAAGTGTTTTGAAGAGACCAAAAATAATCAAGCTAAATGTAGTAAATGAGAAGAAAAAATGTTAAATTTTAAGAAATTCGGTCTTTCGAATTTTTGATAATTTATAATAATTTTTGATTTTTTACCAAAGGGTGGAGACTATTAAATAAGTAAAGTGTTTTTGAAGAGACCAAAAATAATAAAGCTAAATGCCACAAAAGAAAAGAAAAAATGTTGAATTTTAAGAAAACCGGGTTTTCAAATTTTTGATAATTTATAAAAATTTTAAATTTTTTACCAAAGGGTAGATACTATTAAATAAGTAAAGTATTTTTAAAGAGCACAAAAATAATATAGCTAAATGCAGTAAATGAAAAGAAAAAATGTTGAATTTTAAGAAATTCGGTTTTTCAAATTTTTGATAATTTTTAATAATTTTAAATTTTTTACCAAAGGTTAGAGACTATTAAATAAGTAAAGTATTTATAAAGAGCACAAAAATAATAAAGCTAAATGCCATAAAAGAAAAGAAAAAATGTTGAATTTTAAGAAATTCGGTTTTTCAAATTTTTGATAATTTTTGATTTTTTTCCAAAGGGTGGAGACTATTAAATAACTAAAGCGTTTTTGAAGAGCCCAAAAATAATGAAGCTAAATGCAGTAAATGAGAAGAAAAAATGTTCAATTTTAAGAAATTCGGTTTTTCAAATTTTTGACAATTTTTAAAAATTTTATTTTTTTTACCAACGGGTAGAGACTATTTAATAAGTAAAGTATTTTTGAAGAGCCCAAAAATAATAAAGCTAAATGCTACAAAAGAAAAGAAAAATGTTGAATTTTAAGAAATTCGATTTTTCGAATTTTTGATAATTTTGAATAATGTTTGATTTTTTGCTAAAGGGTGGAGACTATTCAAATAGTAATATTTTCCTACCGAAATAGGTAACTAATTATAATTTTTTTCCGGTCGAATTAAATTCCTGGCTATTTCCTGATTTTCCAGATTGGTAGAAACAGTGCTAAATGTATTTGTAGAAACTAAAACCCGTTGAAGACGGGTATGACAGCTAGTTCTTATATATTATTATACCCGAACTATAGGTTTCAATGCTACTTATTTATTATTTTTAAGTAATATAATAATTTAAAAACAAGTGAAATTCACAAAAAAAAATTTTTAATTTAACTCACATTTGGTTTATAAGATGCTTGCACATCTTGTGGCAAGCTATGTGCTGATCGGACAAGATAACATTGAGGGAATGTTTCACGGTAATGTTAATGGAATATTTGTGGGCGATGTTCAGGGAATATTCCAAAATTACATACTTTGAAAATATTTAACATTTTTTCTTTTTTTTATTAAATATACGATTCATTGTTTTTTTAACATATTTAATATTACCTAGGAATAATAACTCAATATCACCCTGGAATATTCGTTTAATATTACCGTGGAACATTCCCTGAATGTTGTCTTGGAATATCCTTTTTAAGTTTCATAACTTGATCGTCAATAAAATATCTATATCTGTTCCATTTGGCATATATCACATTGTAACGAGGCATGTTGATCTTTTTAAGCAAGGTCATGTCTCCAAAGACATGCACAAGTGCCCTGTGGTCACTTAGTTCTACATCATCCACAACAGTGGATTTCAAGCTCTTATTTATAAAGGTAAGAGTCCACCAGAATCAAGTCTATATTCTGAAAACATATGTTGTATGTACAGAGATCACTTGTGTCACTGACCGCAAACAAATCCCACTTTCATATAAAAGCCTACAACTGTTCTCCCCTGGAATCAGCATACTCAGTATTACGGCACCACAGAGGTGATACCGCATTAGCATCCAGGCCAATAATAACATTTCTGCTGACAATCTTCTGAAGAACAAATTAGAGCTCCTGTAGGCTTTCCACAATATCCAGCGAATACTTGAAGTAGGCAGAAATAGCATAGAGAGACCCGCATGGTCCAGATATGTAAGCACAAACACAATGTGCAGTGCTCACATCCTTCAGCAACATATCGCTATACTCTCTCTGAATTATGACAATGCATGTCCAAGGATACTCTCCCTTATCGTTACCCGTGATAATTTGATTTGAATACTTGACAAGTCCAGCAGTCGTACCTTTATATTGGTACGGCTCTTGTATAAGTATTATCGGAATGCCGCGACTGGATGCAGTATCAGTAACTTCATCCATAGCAGATCTTTCTCGTCCAGTATTTATTTGCAACACTTGTAAACTGCAGGAGTTATTGAACTCCGTAGTCAGTTTTGGCTATGATGCTATGAGTCTGTCCATTGCAAACTCCCCCTCGTGATCTAAGAGTTTACCCGTCATTTTGCAGTTGATTACATATTGATTTCGAAAAATCAATATGTCTGTTTTGAAATCTTGTAGTTTTTATTTATGTCTTTTTATGGTAACACGTTTGTCTTCAAAAAGGCTGTACAATGGTTTTTTATCAAGTTTTATTCTTTTACTTGTAGTTTTAGGACAAGAAGCTGCACCTCCTTAAGCGATTCGAATGTATTGTCGTCTCCAGAGGATGCAAAAAAAATAAAAGATCATATAGTGATGTGTTGTCAGAAGGAGGACGAAAAAATGGAGGAAAATAACTATAAAGGTCAGGATGCAAAAAAATAAAAGATCATATAGTGATGTGTTGTCAGAAGGAAGACGAAAAAATGGAGGAAAATAACTATAAAGGTCAGGATGAATCGCGAAAGACAGAATTTGATAACGAGAAACTTGAAGAGAAAGAAAAAAGGGGCACCGAAAGGAGCAAAAGCGAGAGAAAGAAAATTCGAGCAGAAGGAAAAATGAAGAAAAGTTTATAAATGAAATAGAAGAGGAAGAGGAAACGAAGATTGAAAATGAAAAGCAACGAACAGAAGAAAAGGGAAAGCGAAGAAAAGGAAAGCAAGAGAAAGAGCAGGGTTTATTGGACGAAGAAAAGCTGAGATTGTTTAAAAAAAAGATATCATGGAATACTTGAGGAATAAGGAACACCAAAAATCGGACACCGAAATTAGGAAACAGAAGAAGGAAAAAGAGTGTACATAATTTAGCGAAAAAGAAGAGAGAGAAAAGGAAAGAGAGGACGCAAAGAATAGAGTCTTTAAGAGTGCGAGAAAGTTTCGTAATGAAAGTGAGCACCAAAAAGAAAATAGAAGACCTTGTGGTGAAGAAGAAGTATTTGTTAATGATGGAGGAAAAGAAGAAGATGGATTTCATATCAAACACGGGCGCAATCATAGGCGTAAAATGTACGACTTATACAAAGAGGCTAACGATTTAAAGTACCGGATAGATCAGATTGAAGTTGAAATTATCATGTTGTCACGCCAGCTCAGAAATTGCCAGGACTGCACGGTTATAGTTGACACACGTAAGTAATTATATGAAGTAAAGGGTAATCTACAGTTCGAGATTGATCAAAATCAATTACTGATTGGTGAATTGAAAAGTCAACAACGACACCAATATTAGTCTCATTGTTTATAAAAATGGACAAGCAAAGAAATAAGACAGGGAAAGGTAACCAGCAGGATTTACCCGACATTGCCTACCTATCTTGTTTATATTGAAATCGAATTTTCTTTAAAAATTTTTCTTTATCATTTAAATATTACTTCAAAACTTTTTTCTTCTTTCTGCAAGAAATTTTAAGAAACTAGACTATCTAAATTCAAAATTACGTTTTTTGAAATTTTATAGTCTTAAGTGTTTTAAACATTTTCTTTATGTTTTTAATACTATGAAATATATGAATGATATTCTTCGGTTACTGTTGCTAAACTTCGATAATTTTAAATTAATGTGAAAAATACATAAAAATTCAATGTCGTTCAAAAAAAAGTTTGAAAACTCGACTATCTAAATTCAAAATAACCTTTCTTGAAATCGTATTATTGTTAAGTGTTTTAAACATTTCTTTTTTTATGCTTTTATTACTATAAATTGTACGAATGTTGACTTCGTTGACTTTTGCTGAAATTTTTTAATTTGAAATAAATGGAACGAATAGTATGAAAAAAAAGCGTTATGCTTATGTTGATAAGTTAGTTATGTGTGGGAATGTAAGTGTCTGAATTTGCAGGATCGTACCCTGTGAACATTGGAAACCATTTATATTTTACAATAAATTATATTAAATTATACTATTGAATAACAAAAATATGAATTTTTGTATAAAGTGTAAATGTATTTGCAATTTATTACAAATTTAAAAATGGTAAATTTGATTGTGAAAGACATCTATCAAATCTAAATAACCTTTGTAAACATAACCTCAAAATCAAACTAACATAGGGTCCTGATAATGTCCACGTGATTCAACTGTCAAACTGTTTGTTTCTGAGGTGGGGAAAACTTATGTACCGCAAAGAGTTAATTATTGAATTTTGCTTTCTTATTATTCTTTGCACTTGAAAATTCATAAAAAATTTAATATTTTTTATCTTTTAGGGATTACAAGCAAGTTGGAGCACTTTGTTGATTGTGGAGTAGGTGCAATATGGCTATCTCCAATATTTCAAAGCCCAATGGTCGATTTTGGATACGATATTTCAGATTTTCGAGCAATCGATGAAAGGTTTGGAACTATGAGTGATTTTACGGATTTAACGGCAAAAGCAAAAACACTAGGTCTGAAGGTACACAAATTAATATGAATAAATAATAGTACATTTTATTTTAGTATATTACAGTAATGAGACTCCATTGGCTTGCGATCATAGAGGTTAAGCAACATCTAGTACGGTTAGTACTTGGATGGGTGACCGCGCTTTGACGCTCGCTATAGCCAAGTGTTTTCTCACTAATTTCGTAATATATCAAGCAGGAGGTTGGAAGTCGAGGTATAATGATGTGCACTGTCGATTATTGTCCGGTACACACCATTAGAACTTGGCTGTCGATAAACCGGTTGTACTCGGAGAGATTATCTACAGTTTCCCTTTTCTCTGGTGAGAGAACCCATTTGACGGGTGGTCCAGGCAAATGCAAGTTTTCATAATTTCAAGTCGTTCTGTAGACGCAAAAATTAGTATAAGGAATATAGTAAGAGAGAAATTGTAGATGGGTGTATAAATTTTGAATTGTATTGCTTAAGAGTTATAAATAATTATTTATTCATTATTTAACCTTGCTTTATTCATACCGACGCACGTAAACAGGTTATATCTAAAATCTGTGAATTTTTTTGATTACTAGTAATTTCGTGCGGAATAAGTAACATGACTTTCTTTAAATTTGCGGATTCCTTTTGGATAAAAATGAAGCACTGCAGAATAGTAAAGTAAATGCATCAGGAAGTACAAAGTTTTTGCAAGAGCTGAATTTCTTACCATTTCTACAGGAATTATTTTTTTTAAGGGGCCAAGAGCAATCGTAAAATCCCATTAAAATATGCCTATTTTTAGGTACCATTTTCTCAGCTCCAAATGATTATTTTTCATCAAATTTTTTTTCTGATGATTTTATATACAAAGGACTAAAATCTGATCGTTCGATAAAGCCAAATTTTTATTTTTTAATTTTCTGTGCCTTTTTGATATTAAATAACTTTTTTAAATAGATAGTACTCTTATTTCTCTAAATATATTTTAGAGAGCCTTCGTGTAGTTTAATTTTTTCCATTATAATGTCTTTTAGAATTCTAAAGTGTTTAAAGTAATAAAATTCCTTAAAATGTTTATAGGTTGTTCTTGATTTAGTACCAAACCACACCTCTGACAAACATGAATGGTTTCAAAAAAGCTTAGACAATATATCACCATATAATGATTATTTTATTTGGAAACCAAACAAGACGGGAAATATACCGCCAAACAATTGGATAAGTGTATTCAGTGGTTCTACGTGGACACATAGTGACAAGAGAGCTCTTTCGTACTTTCATCAGTTTGATTACCGCCAACCAGATTTGAATTACGCTAACCCGCTGGTTAAAACTGAAATGGAAGTGAGTTAAAAAATACATGTAATTAAATAGAAAAATACAATAATTACACAGTCCCTCAAAAAGCATCCGCCGCGGCAGACCAATATACAATGTACTTTAACGCTATATGTTATCTTTGCGGTATCACGAATCCAAAGTACACACTTAGTGAATTACGTCAGAATTTTTTTTAGCCTTAAAAATATGTAAAGATTTTATGTATTATAAATTTTTTAAAAAAATTAGTTGGATTTACTTCAAATTTGTTCCTCGGAGGTTTTCAGGGTTACTGATTATGAATGTGGAGTCAGATTTTAAAAACTAAAGATGGCGTTTCCAATATGGCAATCAAATTCAAATTTTTTCTTATCTTTACGTAACTTGGTACCCTGCGGGCACAGAGATATGGGGTGTCTTGAGGATATTCTTAAGATGTCTGTACCTGTTGAAGGGACACCCAGAAGATATATATTCTAGAGACATCCTACGGAAATAGGATGTTTTTTGGGTCTCTGTCGAACGGACATAGAGTTCTTAACGACATCCCATGTTTTTGGGATAACCCCAAAAATCTCCGATAAGCGCGACTTAAAAATCCTAACACGATAAAAAAAACTGATCTTGGATTCGTATTCAGCGTACAGTGGGCCAAGAGGTAGGCAAAAGCGGACAAAACTCAAATTTTAATCGGATTCACTTGAAACTCGTTACCCGGGGATTTCCGGGGTCGCTGATTACGAATCCAATGTCAGTTTTTCAAAATTCAAAATGGCGAATTCAATATGGCCGATGCCAAAGTTAAACATTCATTTAATTCCCTTGAAAATCGTTACTCGGGGGGTTTTCGGGTCGCTGATTACAAATCTAATGTCAGTTTTTTAAAACTCAAAATGGCTGATCCAATATAAGGGACGCTAATGTTAAAAATTAATCTAATTTACTTAAAAATCGTTATTCGGTGGTTTTTAGGGTCGCTGATTACGAATTTGATGTCTGCTTTTTAAAATTAAAAATGGTGGATCCAATATGTCAGATAAGAAATTTAAAAACTTATTTAATTTAGCGGTAAATACTATCCTAAGGTTTTTTATGATTTCTTAATAAAAATATGTAATTAATAATTCAAAATGATCGACCCAAAATTTTAGAAAATTTTTTATAATTCAGGTTCTGCGGGTTCGGCGGGTCGATGATTACAAATCAGAAGTCAGATTTCCAAGATTCAAAATGTTAGATCCAATATGGCGGACAATTTTTCAAAAATTCAACAGATCCCCTTCAAAGTTTGATTTTGCCACGTCCACGCTCGATGATTCTGGATTCGGTAAAGAGCGAAAAACCAAAAAGATTAAAATTCTTAATGCATTTTTAAATCTGCCATTTTGAATTTTAAAAACCGACGTCGCATTCGTAATCATCGACCACAAAATCACTTAAACAACGTGTTTAAAGGGAACCCGTTGAAAGTTTTTTAATTTGTTCTCCATATTGGTTTTGACTTTTGTAAAATTTAGTACATAATTTACAAAATCAGCCACCATAAAAACCGCCAAGAAACGACTTTGAATGAAATTCGTTGAATTTTTTTAGAAATTTGTTCGCCATATTTGATACGCCATTTTGAATTTTGAAAATATAACGTTTGATTTGTAATCAGTGATAATAATTCGAAAAATGGAAAATATTTAACAAATTACAGTAGAACCTCGATTATCCGAGGTAATGTGGGGAAGAGGTACCTCGGATAATCAAAAACTCGGATAACACGGAACCAATGAAAATTTCAAAATTTTAAATTATTTTTCATGTGTTTAAAGTGTTAGAATAATATTAAATGACAAAAATGGACGAAATTTTAAATGCAATGATCACAAATAGTGGTTTTGTAAAATTTATTTTCCAAATTTAGTCGCTCGATCCGTTTTATCCGAGTTATTCCGCATTATCCGAGCATGTTTAGTGCCTCGGATAATCCGGAATCTCGGATAATCGAGGTTCGAATAACCGAGGTTCTACTGTAAATGTGCTTTATTTTTTATTACATAAACTATTTTTAATTTTGTTTACTTTCCTTTAAAAATAAAAATAAAATAAAGAAATACAGGTTACGAGTCAGAAAATTAATTAATTTCAGAAATAAATAAGTAGACCAAAATTTGCCTTTCAAAAAAATTATATCCTATGAATTTTTGCCTTATTTTGTATATAAATTCACCAAATTTTAAAATGGACAAAAGTGGTCAATTTTAATTAAAAGTACATTTAATTTAGAAGATATTTTACGCTTAGTTTGTTCTATATCGCGCGGAATTTAGGAGGAACTAACAAATAATAGCAAGTGCATTTCAAAAAAATAAATATTTTCCGACGTTAAATGTGCTTTATTTTTTTAAATACCTATAGTGTTTTTAATTTATTATAAATATTTTTTATAGTAATACATGTCATTTAAAAAAAATAAAATTTAAAAGTCAGAAAAATAATCATTTATAGAAAATCAAATAAGTATTTTAGTCGTCAGAGTCCTTCAAATTTGTTAATCAAACTTTTTAACAAATATACAATCACCGCTATAGTATTTGACAAATAACTTTAATATTCTACAAAAAGTTGCATAAAATACTGTAGATTTAGGTTATTATATGTAAAATTTATAATTCTAAAGTGGACTTTTGTCCGCATTTGGATGCGTACTGGCCCTCTTTGCAGCGGCCTAAAATAATGATGATACTCCAGTCTGCTGCACTAGATACTTTTTTGTGGGGCCGGGTTAGTAACATGTAACATTGTAAAATGTTTCCCAATTCTATATTTATTGCATTGTTATATTATAAATTATTATTATACTTCTTGATATATGAAGAAAATTCTACCACCTTAAAAAATTTACTTTGTGAATAAATTTATCCAACAAATGTAAGACATAAAAAGTAACCTGAGCCCAATGCTGAAACATTTCTAACTAAGAATAGAAAGACAATTCAAGAAAAAAATAAATAAATGGCCCATGGCCCATATATGGCCAGAAAAAGTCGTACCACCTTTGTGTCAGTGGCTATATATGGCCTCTAAAAAAATACTAAACATTATTTGATTTAATTTGCGAAATTGAACTAAAAATACTCAAAAAAATATTTAATTCTCTACTTGTAATATGTAACAATATTCAAGTAGAACTTTTGCAAAAACAATAATTTCTTTTTTTACAATAAAAAAGTGTGTTTTTTGCAAATTCTAAACCAGAAAGTCCCCTTAAATCGAAAAATATTTAATTTCACGACGAATGCAACTTGTTTTATATTAAAAAAGTATTTCTACACAAACATAAAAAGAAACTAAAAATCTTTTTTTTTGCACAGGATGTAATTAAATTTTGGTTAGGTAAAGGTGTCGATGGATTTAGAATAGACGCAGTGCCCCATCTTTTTGAAGATGACAAACTTACCGATGAACCTAGATCTAATAATCCCACTGCAACAGATAGAGATTATACCTATTTGAATCACATTTATACTAAGGATGATCCACGTACTTATGACCTCGTTCTAAGCTGGAGAAAAGTGTTGGATGACTGGTCAAATGCAAATAATGAAGATGAGAAGGTAATATATTAGCTTTTTGAATGTAATATGAAATTGTGTATTTAACATTACGCTTTTAGAAGTGTGTATTTTTAGTGCCAGCAGGATGTAAAAAACTTTTACAGTCATTTTTGTTGTACTTTAATAGTACATTATTACCTACGAGCGGTCAATAAAGTACACTTTATTGCTCTAGGTCAATAATGGGCACTTTATTAACGGCTAGTTTATAAAGGGAACTTAGTATGCACCTGTACAGGTAGATAAGTAACCATAACACGCCTGAGTTGCGTACAATAATTTTATTTTAGCATATTTGTGAAATTTTGTATAAAATTATTATCTGTAGTTTCTGCAGTGATTCTTGAAGAATGTTTTACATAAAATAAAATACCTAACAATCTACTTTTTTACTATATTGAAATGCAAGCGTATAACATATAATAAATTCTAATTTTAATAACATGTTATTTTTTACAGGTCATGATGACAGAAGCATACACAAGTTTAGAAAATACGACGAAATTTTATAATTATGGTTCACATATTCCTTTCAATTTTAAATTTATTACGGATGTATCTGTCACATCGAAACCAGAAGACTTTAAAAATTTAATTAATACATGGTTAAGTCATACACCAGCAAATGGAGTCGGTAATTGGGTAGTAAGTATAAAAGTTTATTAGGGGCGTTTCATTTGAAAATGACATATGATCTCTTAGAGTTTTCTCATATAAGAATTGTGAGTGATTATGGCCCTAGTGAAGTATACAAAATAATAATAATTTTTTTTATTTCTATACTATAGACATTTGCATTAAAAAGTTGTGCTTCTTAAAATTACTTTTACATAAAAATAAACTTGCAAGTGATTGTTTGTTATTATTCTAATTACCATGAAAGTTTTACTCACTAGTTTTCGATCAATATAGAAATATAAAATTAATCTTTATAAATATGTCAATAAAAAATTCTTAAACTGACATAATGTTATATACAGTGTACAGATTACATATTTTAATATTAAAAAATATTATATTTATTTATATGTGTTATTACGATGTAAAAATATAATAATTTATTAGATGGGCAACCATGACAGACCTCGAACAGAAAGTCGGTATCCTGGTAGAAGTGATCAAATGACAATGCTGGCCATGATTTTACCAGGTGTTGCAGTAACATATTACGGTGAAGAACTTGGCATGATCGATAAGACTGATATTAGTTGGGAAGATACACAAGACCCTCAAGGATGTAACGCTGGCAAAGAAAAATATCAATCTCGCTCTCGTGATCCAAATCGAACACCTTTTCAGTGGGACAACTCAAAAAATTCAGGTACAACATTTTTTATTATTAAATTGATAATTAAATTGGAAATTGGTTGAAGTTTTATAAAAATTTAATATTGTCTTATTAAGTAAGAAAATCTATAACACACATTCACTTACAGATCGTTTTTCTGTTACAATGCAAGCTACAATTAATTTAAAATCAAATTAAAGTTATAGACTTTTTCTCTTCTTGCCTACGGTAGAATAAATAAGTATTACCGCATTTCTTAGGTTGATTTAAAGTAATAGCAAAATTTAATAAAAGTGTATTTGTTTGTAACATTATTTAACATAAAAAATCTTGATGTATATTGAAGGAAGTAGTGTTTTCTTATGGAGGAAATTTCAATGCTTGTCCCCGACGTTTTTAAAAGACAAAATAAAAAAATTTAATTTTGTAAGCTTTCATTACTTTTATTAAATATTGTACTCTCAACTCTAATAATGAATGTTTGCAGGTTTTTCAAATGGCATCCCATGGCTCCCTGTACACAGTAATTATCATTATTTGAATCTGCAAAACCAGAAGCAAGTGGAAAATTCTCATTATAAAGTTTATCAAGCTTTAACCAATTTGAGAAAAACATCTCCTGCACTTAGAAATGGTACTTTAAATATCATAACAATAGACAGCCAAATATTATTAATAATCCGACAGGACTCAGAAGAAACAATATCACTAATTATAAACTTTTCGGATATGGAAAGTACAAGTATTAACTTGAATTCACATGTACCAAATGCTAATAAAATGACTACCGTTTTGAAACTTGCTGGATCAAACTTACCTGGACTTAAATGGGGGTAAGTTTGTAATATTTTTATAATTTAATATGCTAGTGATGCTCTTGCAGTAACTCATTAAAGAAATAACAATTTTGAGAAAATATAACTTTTATTTTATATTGAGATATCATCTCAGCCAATTTTTTCCTAACAATAAGCAGCTTGTTTTTCATAAGCAGCATCAAAGATTCAAATAACCAATCGTGTGGAAGTAGCTGTATTTGAACAATTAGGCCGACTAAATTCTGTTGCTTAAAATGTGGCAACTGATTCTCATATGATTTTTGAAGTAAAATCCGAATCTAACATTAGAAATATCCATTTGGCTCTAATTTTTTAAACAAATTAACATTTTAGGTGCCAAAAACGTGTTTCTGGCACTTTTTGAAGAATAAAGTGACGGAATAAATTTATCTACCTAGGACGAAACTTAAGCTTAAACAGTGCTTTTCAAGATCTAAAATTAAAACATGAGGTTCCAGGCATTTTAAAAAGCTGAGGTTTAAAAATGAATTCTGTACACAATTCGAGCGCCCTTCGATACAAAATCTGATCCCACTTTTTTAAATTAACCTAAACCCAATTTTTATACTTTGTGTTTTGAAGAACACTGTTTAAGCTTTCATTTTGCCCCATGCAGACTTTTTCCGTCGCATTATTGTTTTATAGCTGTTCGAAAAGCACCAAAAACAAGTTTTTTAGCCAACTGCCCAGCAAACACGTTACGTAAGTGTTACATAACAAATAAAGCACCTTGTTATGTCTCACTGTGACAATATTGTTATGTAACAACTACATAATGAGATAGTAACAATATTATATAACACTGTTACTGAATGGTGATATAATAGTTACATAATTTTTTTAAATAACTATTATATAACTGTGTGATATATTCATTACATCACAGAGTGATAATTTTTGTCTTGTTAGATTGTTCTCTAATTGTTACATAACTGTTACGAAACTGTGTGACATAACAGATACATAATTTTGTTATAATTAATAAAGTAGGTTACATTATTATATCACACTGTGACAATATTATTATGTAACCATTATATAATGAGATAGTAACACTGTTATATAACACTGTTACTGGATGGTGATATAACAGTTACATAATTTTTTCAAATAACTATTATATAACTGTGTGATATATTCATTACATCACAGAGTAATAATTTTTGTCTTATTGCATCGTTCTCTAATTGTTACATAACTGATACGAAACTGTGTGACATAATAAATACATAATTTTGTTATAATTAATAAAGTAGGTCACATTATTATATCACACTGTGACAATATTATTATGTAACTATTATATAATGAAATATTAACACTGTTACTGGGACGTGATATAACAGTAACATAGTTTAATAACATACGTATTATACAACAATGTGATACATTCTTTTAAACTGCACTTAAATAAATAATAGGCAGAATGTGTTTTTTACATAGGCAATTTTTTCCTAAAAACAAAAGCAATACACGCAAAGCAATTGCTTATTCTTTTTAAAAAGAAATTTTTGCTTTCGTTCCTAAGGTTAAGGGGGGGTATAGTTAATTCGGTGAAAAAAACGCATGTTTTTAGAATTTTTTTAGCGATTCGCAGAAAGTTAATTTATTTTATCACTTTGCATATAACATTGCAACATTTGAACAATATTTTTTTAAATTTTGATTTAAAAATATTAAAAATTGAGCGAGATAATGAGATTTTTCTCAGCCGCGTCAAAAAAAAATGATTTGCGGTGTACACTCTAACTCGCAACAGAATCATCCAAAACAAAAAAAATCAAAATGCATTTGTTAAAGGAGATGTTTTTTGAGGTATTATCGGAAGGGATTTTTTTGTTTTTTTACTTTTCGATTTTCCGTAGCACTTGAAAGCCAAAAAGTCGATTTTCACTGTAAAAAATCGATTAATTTGTTATTGTAAAATTGGTAATTTTTTAATAAAAAAATAATGGCTTCTGATGTTACCTCAAAAAACATCTCCTTTAACAAATGCACTTTGATTTTTTTGTTTTGGATGATTCTGTTGCGAGTTAGAGTGAACACCGCAAATTTTTGGAGGCGCCTGAGGAAAATGTTAGAATCTTGCTCAGTTCTTAATATTTTTAAATTAAAATTTAGAAAAATATTGTTCAAATGTTGCAGTATTATATGCAAAGCGATAAAATAAATTAACTTTCTGCGTATCGCCAAAAAAAATTCTTAAAAACATGCGTTTTTTTCACCGAATTAACTATACCCCCCCCCCCCCTTAACATAACAAGGCAAATTTTAATTTGAATATTTAGAGAATACTATATGAAATAATAAATTTATTTATTCCAATATTCACAACTTATCCAATGAAGAGATTAAACCTTATAAACAGAATTAATATTATATGTGACGCGATCTGAAGAAAGGGACCTTAGAAGCAAGAAATTATAGGTTAAGTTTGCAATTTTTTAATTGAAAATACAAAAAAAGGATCAACTGTCAATATAAATCATTGAAGTTTAAGTCTTCATTAAAACTAAAATATTTAATAAACACTGATTTTAATTCGAAATAAGTAAAAAGAAACTTTCAAACAAGAAAAAAGTAACTCTAACCCAACCTTAAAATGATTTGCTTCTAAGGTCCCTTTCTTCAGATCGCGTCACATATATATATTCATTTTTACTATCGTGAATATAATGATAATGTATTTTTATAGTTTATTATTTAAAAATTAAAAAATTATATTTTACATTTTTATTAATTATATGTGACGCGATTTGAAGAAAGGGAACTTAGAAGCAAAAAATTGTAGGCTATGTTTGAAATTTTTTAAATGAAAATACAAAAAAGTAACAACCGTCAATATAAATAATTGACATTTTAAGTCTTTATTACAACTAAAATATTTAAAAACAAATTATTTAAATAGCAAACATGTTCTGTAACTGTTACGTAACATTTCTGTAGTAATAAGAGCTAAATTACGTAACTGTTATGTAATTGTTATGTAACATAAAAGTAACAATGTTCTGTAACTGTCGTTACAAAATTGTTACGTAAAATTGTAGTCTCTCTGTTACGCAATAAAATTATGTAATTGTTACATAACTGTTATGTAACATGAAACACTATTTTATAATTATTGTTTCGAATAAATATTTTTTATTATAAATCTAGTTTAACTGTTTAAGTTTATTAATTTACAATAAATTATTATTAATAATTATTATCAGTATTATTTATTATAATTATTAATGTCCAAAACTTTTAAAGAAGTACGTAAAAGTAAAGTGGGGTGAAGAAGCCGACTTTTGGAACATTTTACGATATTTAATATATCACTCACTTTTAATTTTATTTAAAATTTTTTAACGTACTCTGAAAAGTTTGTCTATTATAATAATTTAAAAAATATCTTAATTTTTTTTGTAAAAAGTTGTCAGAAATTAATAAAGAAAAATTTTTATTTGAACAAATTTATTTAAAATTAATTTAAAGTTTATAACTCTCAAATTTTATGTGAAGAAAAATAGAATTTTCAGAATAAAATAAAAATTTGTAATCCCGATTAGTATAATTGTAATCGTTTCTTTTTGTTACTCACATGTGTGTGACATTGTTATGTAAATGCTACAAAATTGTTACTTATATGTGTGTAACATTGTTACGTAAATGTTACAGAATTGTTACTGAACACTGTGACTAATGTGTGGTAGATATTTTTATTAACACGTTAATCGTATATTACAAATAAAAAAATCACAAGTTTGTCTTTGTTACGTAATAGTTACATAACAGTAAGTAACAGAATATACGGCACTGCAGTTGATATAGTAGATTAGGAGAATTCTCATCCAGCCTTCAGTGGCCGTGCGGTTTAAATGCGTTGCGTCGGGTCGTCAAGGGCGGGGGGACGTGAGTTCGATCCCACATGCGAGCGGATATTTTTCATTCTAAGCGTTATGTAAAATAATAAAATTACTATTTAATCTGTATATAAGTGTTGTGAAATGTGAATAAAATAAACTTGTGAACATGTTTATAAATAATATTAAAGATCTGTAAAAAAATCAAGTTTAAAAAATGTACTAATTAATAAATCAGTTTTTTACTAAAATTATTTTTGGATATTACCATGTCAAATGGCATTTGTTATTATCTATTGAATAAAAATAATAACAATAATTTTCACGTAGGTCATAATAGTGATGTTACAATTATATAACAAGCTCATCAAATTATGTAACAGAATCTCATAATTGTGATATAATAATAAGTCACAACGTGATATAAGTGTGATATAACAATTATGTAACATATTTACATAACTGTGATATAATAATAAGTCACAACGTAATATAAGTGTGATATAACAATTATGTATCAAATTCTTCTAATTATGTAACATATTTACATAACTGTGATATAATAATTAAATATCACGCTGCAACATAATTGTTATATCACCCTTCTTGTAACAATTATGTAACTGTGACCCTCATGTTACGACATTTCGTGTCACATGTTCATATCATGTTATATCACGTGTGATATTCTGTGACATAACTGTTACATAACTGTTATGTAACAATGTTTGCTGGGTGAATATTTTCAAGGTCAGATTCGGATTCTACGTCGAAAAGCCTATAAGAATCGGCTTACACATTTAAGTTAACATCAAGTTGTCGAAATTTTGTCGGCCTGTGATTATTTTCATAACATCAAACGCTACTGTAAAGCAGACTATCTTAATAATTTCAAATGTATTGTAATAAATATTTCCATTATTTCATTTATGAAATTTTCATTTATGAAATTTTCATTTATGAAATTTTCATTTTTACTTTTATAAATGCTGTAATTTAGTGATTTTTTATGTTTAATAATTAGTTATAAAAATTACTTTATTTTGTTTTCAGAAAAGAGGTGGACACATCAAATTTAAAAATTCCAGCAGGCTCATCTTTAGTCTTAACATCTAAACCAAAATCAACTAATGCAGGGATACAAACGAAGCCAACGTTCAAATTTTTATTCATAATTTATGGAATTTTAACTTACTTTTACTACAAATAACTTCTTAAAATAAAATTATTTAATCTGAAATAGGAACGATAAAATTAAGATTACTTTTGGTTTTTCATAAATTATTTTTTATTCAGAAAACAGAATTTGGTGTTAACATGAAATCATACACTGAAAAAAAAGTGCTGTTGAATCAAATAGCTCCATGCTATTGAATTTCCCGTCATTGATTCAATGACACATTTATTAATCGAAAAGTATATTGCTTAAAACGAAAAAATGAAACTGTTTAAATTAAAAGTACGGTACTGTAGAATTAATGATATTGTGCAAATTGTTTCTAAAGTTCATCTATATATAGCAACAGAATAATTTATTGCTTCTTTGACATTATTCATTTGAAGCATCTAATAGATAAATTTGAAGAAAATGCGTGTAAATTTAAATCAAATGAATAATTGTTTGCTACAAAGAAGCGCGCTCTGAAAACGAAAGCATATGCTTTCGTTTCAATGAGTGGTGCTATTGCGGACTGCCTATAGCATATGCTATAAAAATAAGAACACTATGTATTTGAGACATTGACAGGTGCTAAATTTATTGAAATACTAACCCACATATATTTATATGTTTATTAAACCTGTCGTTTTTGCGATTCCAATATAAAAAAGTATTATTTAAATTCTTTTAATTAATTAATGACTAGTTAAATATAAATTCCCTTATATACGCGAAAAATCTCGAGCACGGTATTAAACCACAAAGTTAGTGCCCAATGTTGAGAAGCGGATGTATTACATTGCAGCGCGGCGGTTCTCGTCTATCACGGAAGTTAAGCGTCGTTGGTCGCGGTTACTAAATGGATGGGTGACCGCTTGGGAGTAGCCGCATTTTTCTGACTAAAAAAGGTAAGTGTGTTTGAATGTGTATGTGTGTGTGTTTAGCCGTTGGAAAAAATGAAAAAAGTAATAAAAATGTGTATGTTTGTGTGTAAAATTGAAAAAAGATGTGTATAAGAAGTGTTGTGTTAAAGGTGTGAGAATTAATTATAGTATATAAAAAACATGTGAACAAAAATTTCCTTTTTTCAATTTATCGTTGGTATATATTTAACCACATAAAAGAATTGAATTAACAGTATGGTGTTATTCAATCGATAGCAACAACTAAAAAAATTAAAAGTACTAGTTTTTGAATCATAAAAATGATGCTTTTAAATTTAAAAGTTATAGTCATTGACTCAAAAGCATATACTGTTAAATTAAAAAATTTTGTTTATTGATTCAAAAGGATTCACCTTCGAATTAACATAGTATGCTGTCAATTTGAGAAATATGCTTTTGTTTCAAAGAAAGTGATACTATCGAATCATTAGAATCGGTGCTTTCAAAACAACAGCATATACGTTAGGCAGCCCGTTATGACACTATTCAATGAATCAAACCCATATGTCATTGATTCAACAGCATTTTTTTCTCAGTGTAAGAAAAGGTTTTTCAGGACAATAAAGATTTATAATGTTATTTGCTAAATTTATTTACTATAGGGGAGACTACCGTAGAATGAAAAATAAAAATTTGTCGGTTACTTGACATGTATAATATACCTACTGTTTATTAAAAGGTTCTATTCAAAAATGTTATTCTGATAAGCTTAGATTTGTAATGTAATTAATAAGGAAGATCCTTAATAAAAGTGACATCTTCGTTTTTTTATACCCGCATTAAAAGGAAAAAGGAAACAGCTGACAACTGAAGAATCAAATGACACTCGTTTTGTCACAAAAATTCGATGGTCTATAGAATCAGTTCATGGTGTGCTCAAGCAAAAATATTCTCTTCTCGATCATAAAATCGATAATAAATTACTACACAAAGTCAGAATTTAGTTTCAAATTGCTTGCTTTTTGAACAATATTTTTGGCAAAAGGTTGCATTCTGACGTGGAATCATTCAATGATATACTTCAAAGGATGCAAAGACAGAAAAATGTAAAGTTCACTTTGCCTGATGAAGTAGAAAAAAATGGCAATTGTTCATAGTCAATATGACAGATTCTGAAATTCGTGAATTAAAAGTGAAACGTGGTGCTTTAAAACGCTCACTTACCACGAACGAAACAGCGTTAGATAAAATTAACAAATCAACATATTTAGCTTCTTTAGATCCAATCGGACGATTACAAAGAATTGAAGAAAATTGGAATGAATTCCAAACAATTCAGTCGCGACTAGAAATTCTTTGTTGTGATAATGAGGAAGAATTAATCACAAATTCTAATGAAAGAGATAATTTTGAAAGTAGACATTTTAAAGTAACTGGTAAACTGAAAGGCATTATTAGCGAATTACCTACTGATAGCACCCGAAAAAGTTCTCCGGCATTGTCTTCTTCTAATTCATCAAACGTTCGCGATCTTGACATTATCACAAATATCAAATTGCCGACGATAAATCTGCCAACATTTTCTGGCAGCTACGATACGTGGATAGGTTTCTCGGAAATTTTTAAATCCATTATTCATGAAAGTGAAAGAATTCCTGATATTCAAAAATTGCATTATTTAAAATCTTGTTTAAAGGATGAAGCAGCAACTGTAACTGCTTTTTTAGAAACATATATCCTCAAACAATTACCATGTTGCGTGGGAGTTTCTTGAAGAACGGTTTAATAATCATAGATTTATTGTTGAAATTCACACTAAAGCCCTCATCGAATTTCCCTATGTATCTAAAGAATTCTCAATTCGCTCTTTATTAGATCATGTGCAAAAACATTTTCGCGCATTAGAAGCATTAAAGGTACCTGTTGATAAGTGGGATACAATATTAATTTTACTTATCAAGGGTAGGTTAAATCAATTTAATCGAGATAATTAGAAGAAACTCGTCTTAGAGATAGTCAAAATTAAGCAAACATTTCAAACAACAAAGTTGATAAATCAAATTCCTTTAATAAAAAACACAATGCTCAACATACTCATGTTTCTACACAAGGAAAACCCATTTTCTTTCTTTGTAAAGGTGAACATCCAATTTATTCTTGCGAACAATTTCTAAAATTATCAGTAAATGAGCGTGTTGAAAAGGTTAAAGCTTTATCTTCGTGTAATAATTGTTTACTGCAAAATTCTCAAGATCACAAATGTCGTTTAGGTCCTTGCAAAAAATGTAATGGAAAACATAATTCATTATTACATTCAGACCAAAGTCAGTTTCAAGTTACAGGTTTGTCATTATCGCAAACTACAATTATAAAATCAGTTAATACAATAATTAAATCTTGAGTTAACAATTATGATGAAAGATTAGAACTTTTTGTTATTTCTCGTATTACAAGTAAATTTCCCTCAATTCAAATGAATCAAAATAAACTGCAAATTCCTCAAAACATTGTTCTGGCTGACCCCGAATTTTACAAGCCTGCAGAAATCGATGCTTTAATAGGAGTTCAATTATTTTACAAACTTCTTTCCATTGGTCAAATCAAAATACCAAATCATGATGCCATTTTGCAGAAGATTTCTATGCAAGACACCTTCCTTTTTAAAAAGCAATTTGGATTTTTTCTTTCGGATTTGTCAATCTTGAAATAAACTGTCCGCAATTGGACAACTAACTTTTTGGAGTTTCGATCTGAATGCTGTCTGCAGATTATGATATTAAATAAAAATTAAAAACAAACCATTATTTTTATTCTACAAATATATACTAATATAGGCAAAAAAGTTTTTTAAATATTTATAACAAAAGACCTAAGAAATTTTTTTTTTAAATTTAGTCTTTTAAGAGCCTTCTAAAGTGTAGTAGTACCTTAACAAACTTATTCGCATAATTGCCTATTGTTTTCGATTTTGTCACAATACAAAGGGAAAAAACTCACAGAAGGTAAGTGGTCAACTTTCAATTACGGAATACGAAAATGATCATGATTCTATTATCAAAATTGCCCAGTTAAGCGAATTTTTTCAAGAAATTAAAGAATTAACAGAGCATCGGCCTATCATAACAAGAGTAAACTCTTAAACTTGAATCCATTTGTAGAGAAAGGTGTGTTAAAAGTTGATGGAAGATTAGTAACCTCCCATCTGAAACTAAATCAAAAACATCTGATAGAACTTCCACGCAATCATTTTATTACCGCTTTAATTATACGCGAACATCACAAAAAATTAAAACACGCAGGAATTCAATCAACACTTTATTTAGTGCGCGAAACCTATTGGCAGTTTTGATTGCACAATGGGACACCTACCTGCGTATCGAATTATTTATTCGCGACCATTTGCTGTTCTCGGAGTAGATTATTGTGGTCCCTTTTTTATCAAATAAAAAAGGTACCGCAATACAAAGAAATTAAAATCATATCTAGCAGTTTTTGTTCGTTTTGTAACTCGCGCAGTGCATCTTGAATTAGTGAGTGACCTTACTACGGAGGCATTTATTAGGTGCTTAAAAAAGGTATTCGCACGTCGAGGCAAAGCCAGTAAAATTTACTCTGATAATAATGCAACAAATTTTGTAGGTGCAAATAGACACTTTGAAGAATTAGAAGAATTGTTCAACTCAACAGATCATAAACAAAAGGTAAATAAATTCTTAGAAAGCGAAAGAATTGTTTGGAAATTTAGTCCTCCAAGAGCACCTCATTTTTGTGGGTTATGGGAGGCTGCAGTCAAATCTTTTAAACATCACTTCACGCGTACTGTAGGAGAGGCTGTATTAACATTTGAACACTAGTAGTTTTACGAGAAGACAATCTTCCTCCCCTGCAATGGAGTTTAGGGCGAATAAGTAAAACACACCCAGGACCAGACGGAGCCGTGAGAGTGGTTACAGTGAAAACACAAAATGGAACTTATAAACGATCAATTAGAAGTCTATATCCGCTTCCAATTGCGTCAGAAATCGAAAAATCATATCAAACATAACTCTCTTCATTTACACTAAATTTATTGTAAACACTTTTAAAAAGAAGGGGGGAACAACGAACAAGATTTCATTTTTTAATTTATCATCGTTGTTATCCAATTAAACAAGTTGATCATTTCATGATCATTTAGCTTCCTCAATACAATATATACCTATTGTATAATTTTTTATTTTAGAATAATTATTTACAAGTGTTAAGATACACATGCTAGTGTTCAGTCGGGTTCAGTCCCTTCTAGAACTCTGGTAATTTTCAGATGATAAGATTAAATAAATTTCGATGAAATAAATTTTTATTTTCGTTTTTACCAAATTTTGATTGTCTGATGGCGTACGGGTGGACCTGCTACTACTAAAAAATTCAAATAAAATTCTCTATTCTTCAGGATTGTGTAGGGTTCAGTCCCTACTAGAACTCTGGTAATTTTCAGATGATTAGAATTACTAAAATCGGAAGAAATAAATTTTTATTTTCGTTTTTACCAAATTTTGATTGTCTGTTGGCGTACGGGTGGACCTGCTACTACTAAAAAATTCAAATAAAATTCTCTATTCTTCAGGATTGTGTAGGGTTCAGTCCCTACTAGAACTCTGGTAATTTTCAGATGATTAGATTTAATAAATTTCGATGAAATAAATTTTTATTTTCGTTTTTACCAAATTTTAATTGTCTGATGGCGTACGGGTGGACCTGCTACTACTAAAAAATTCAAATAAAATTCTCTATTCTTCAGGATTGTGTAAGGTTCAGTCCCTACTAGAACTCTGGTAATTTTCAGATGATTAGATTTAATAAATTTCGATGAAACAAATTTTTATTTTCGTTTTTACCAAATTTTGATTGTCTGATGGCGTACGGGTGGACCTGCTACTACTAAAAAATTGAAATGAAATTCTCTATTCTTAAGGATTGTGTAGGGTTCAGTCCCTACTAGAACTCTGGTAATTTTCAGATGATTAGATTAAATAAATTCCGATGAAATAAATTTTTATTTTCGTTTTTACTAAACTTTGATTGTCTGATGGCGTACGGGTGGACCTGCTACTACTAAAAAATTCAAATAAAATTCTCTATTCTTCAGGATTGTGTAGGGTTCAGTCCCTACTAGAACTCTGGTAATTTTCAGATGATAAGATTAAATAAATTTCGATGAAATAAATTTTTATTTTCGATTTTACCAAATTTTGATTGTCTGATGGCGTACGGGTGGACCTGCTACTACTTAAAAATTCAAATAAAATTCTCTATTCTTCAGGATTGTGTAGGGTTCAGTCCCTACTAGAACTCTGGTAATTTTCAGATGATTAGATTTAATAAATTTCGATGAAACAAATTTTTATTTTCGTTTTTACCAAATTTTGATTGTCTGATGGCGTACGGGTGGACCTGCTACTACTAAAAAATTGAAATGAAATTCTCTATTCTTCAGGATTGTGTAGGGTTCAGTCCCTACTAAAACTCTGGTAATTTTTAGATGATTAGATTTGTTAAATTTGAAAGAAATAAATTTTTATTTTCGTTTTTACTAATTTTGATTGTCTGATGGCGTTCGGGTGAGGGTGCTTGTTAAGGATGAATTTTGAATACTTTAATTTATTAATCAAAATTCTTATTTTTACAAAAACTAGTTTTAACAATTTGCTAACAAATTAATTAAACACAAAAATTTAAATAAAAATGTCTCAAGGTAAAACGTTATTTGCCCTTCGAAAATAATTTATTTATTTAAAGGTAGTGGATCCTTTCTTAGATTATTATTGTTCAATAA